TGTTGAAGCTAATCAGACATTTAATTTCAAAGTGGAAGGTCATTATCTTGTCACAAAATTTTATTCCAATTACTTTTTTCCCCTATTATATGAAATGAATTAAAAGTAGCACAAAACATTGGGAGATCAAACAATCAATCAGAAGCTCATTAAATATCACTGAAATTGGTACAATAAAAAGCATTTCCCATGGCTGAGTCATTATTTAAAAGCTATATTTTGGATGCCACACAGAATTGACATACTGTCAATCAAAAAATCTCCCTGTCCATAAATAGCCCCTTGACTTTAAGAGTTCAGTCTTTCTTTAAGATAAGAATATCTGAAAAGAATTAAAGCATGAGTGTAATTACCATGCCATCAATCCCCATGAGAAATACAAGAGAATGTATCAGTAAAGTCACTATCTGATAATTTAGGCTACAATTTAGGAGCAAGATGTTTACTGAGTGCCAACAGTGATTTCATTTTTTTACAAACACTTTAATATATTACACCTTGCTCTGAAGAGTTGTAAAATAACAACTCTGTTTTAAAGAAAACAGGAAAATGGCTTATTCTGAGCAAAATGTAAGTGACCATGGCCCAGAAACACAAATTTAAGTTACCGTGAATAATATATTCCACTGTAGAAGAGGTGTGAACATTCATGATGCAGAGAAGGTAATAAATTAATAAATGTTCCTTGGTGGGGGCGTTAGGCATGCTCCAGCATAAAAATCTCTTCTGTAGGTTTCAGATGTTAATAACTTTTTTAGCTTTATAGTGGATAAAGATTAGAGGTCTGCTAAGCTAGCGATACATTCTAAATTTCACCTAGTCATCTTGAGGGTGTTAGATCAGATATAGAGGGGAAAGTAAACGATCACTAAGGGGACTAAGATCACCCAAGATAATTTTGCCTTTCAACCTACAAAATCCCATCTCTTCATGTCAGAACGTGCATCTTAGTCAAGGGCAAACAGTCTACAAAATCATTAACACAGAATTTCAGTGCCACACATTAAATACAATCTGCAATTAAGTACAATCCCGGACAGAAAAGACTATCAGTTATAATGTTAAAATTATGTATAACTTTACACTTGGAGTAGATGCCCACTTTTTTTTTTTGGTGGTAGTGGTAGTACTGCAGTTTGAACCCAAAGCCTTCACACTGAAGCACATCTCTAGCCTTTTTAATTTTTCCTTACTTTTATTCTTTTTTTTTTTTTTTCCTAATTTTTTGGCAAGTCTCAGTAGTCCACTAAACTCAGTAAGTCACCAGTCCGGGCTGGGCTCAAATTTGCAATCTTTCTGCCTCAAACTCCTGGAGTAGTGAGATTACAGGTGTGCACCACCATTCTCAGCTCCATTTCTTTTCAAATCAATGATTATTATGCACTCCATTTTCCTATGGACACAAACACAAGTAACTTCTCTTTATGTAGCTAACAAATATCTGAAAGCTGATCGCTTTGAAATTTGTAACATTCTTCCTATGGAAGCCATTTTTGGTTTAATTTTTTTTTTTTTTTTTTTTTTTTTTAGATAACCACTGTCAATTCTCTTTTGTGCTGCCATAATAAAATCCTTGAGGTTGATAATTTACAAACAATAGAAGTTTATTTGGTTTATACTGTGGGAGGCTGAGAAACCCAAGATTAAGGAGTTACATCTAGTGAGGAACTTGCTCCATCATAACACAGCAGAAAGCATTATACCCTTGAGATTGAGCAACAGATTGAACTCAGAACCTCAAATCCTTTACACTTACCATTAATCCATTCATGAAGATGAAAGCCTCATGACCTAACCATCTTCCATTAAGCTTCACTCAACATTGCTAAACTGAGAATTGAGTTTCCAACATATGCTTTTTGATGGACACATTTAAACCACAACATTCTCTCCCCAGCTCCCAAATAATATCCTTCTCAAATATAATTCATTTCATTCTACATATATTCATTTCATCCCTATGACCCCCAAAGTTTTTAGTCCAGTATCAACTTAAAAATCCAAAGTTCAAAGTCTCCTCTAAATTAGACACAGATGGTACTCAAGGCACAATGTATCCTGAGGCAAATTCCCTTTCAGCTATGAGTCAGTAAAGTCAAACAAGTCATCTAAAGTACTTCTAAATTGGAGTAGTGGAGTGGGCATTAAGTACGTCCAAAGCACAGTAAGACGAACAACATTAAATCCTAAACCTCCAGAATAATCTCTTACTCCATATGCCACTCCCTGGACTCACAGAGGATTTGTGTTCCCCTAGCATCAGGCATCCCACTCCTAAGCTGTGCAACTCTCCCAGGCTGGAGCTCAACACTAGCACCTCTACTTCTGTAACACTACTAAGCATTGTGGCTAGCAGGAACTTTCGGTGATGGCTCTGTCCCTCTGACAAGTCTGCCTGGCCCCCCCAGAATGTCCAATACATCTTTGGAAATCTAGCTGGGCACAAAGCCCCATAGCTTGTGTACTTGGCACACCTGCAGAGTTAGCACTGCATAGGTGTCTCAAAGGCTTCCCACTGTGCTCTCAGGGCAGGAGCCCAGCCACTCCTGCATTCACTCCTGCCATGCCCTGGGGTGGCCCCGGAGCACTGCACCAGAATGAGTAAACAAACTTTTAAGGGGGCTGAGCTCCCACACACACCTGTCTGGAAACCTTGCCCTCAAAATCCTAGCTTGCCTCAAAGAGCTCTGAAATGCCTTCAAGGTCATTCTCTCAATATCCTGATGAAAAGAACCCAGGGCTACCTTCTATCCAGAGTAAGCGTCCCTTTAGCAAAAAGTCATTTGGTCACAATCTTAATATTCTTTCCCAAACATGCTTTTTCATTCTTCAGATGGCCAGAGTGCAAATTCCCAAATATTCCTACCCTACTTCTCTTTTAATTATAAATTCCACCTATAAGCCATTTCTCTCTTCTCTCTTTTTACTGTAAACACCAAAAGGAGCAATGAACACCTTCAATGCTTTGCTGCTAAAAGTTCTGTGAGAAACCTAGTTCACTGCTCTTAAATTGGGCCTTCCAGAAATGCCTAGGACACAATTCCACCAAGGCCTGTGCAACCAAATAACAAGAATAGCCTTTAGTTTCTATATCTTGCTTCTCATTTCCATTTGAGATCTTGTAGCTTTTACTGTACATATTTTTACTAGCATTTTGATCAAAACTACTTAAGTAATCTCTAAGAAGTTCCATATTTTCCCAATAGTTCTCTTCCAATTGCCTTATTAGAATCACCATTAATATGCCATTCATTTTATCTAGTCTGTTCCTCCAAATTCCTTCAGCCTCTACCCATTACCTACTTCTTAAAGCCATTTCCATATTTCCAGGTAATTTTTATAGCAGCAATCCCACTTTTTTATTACCTACTTTTTCTTAGTCTGTTTTGTGCTGGTATAGCAAAATACCATAGACCAAGCAATTTACAAAGAACAGAGATTTATTTCTTTCAGTTCTGGAGGCTGGGAAATCTAAGATTGAGGGGTCACATCTGGTTAGGACCTTCCTGCTGTGTCATAACATAGCAGAAGGACTCAGATAGTGGAAAAAAACACTAGAGATCAAACTCTCAGACACTTAATAGACATGAATCCCTTCATGAGAGTACAGCCTTTATGACATAAGCACCTCCCTTTAACCTTACCTCGCACTACTGTTGCCTTGGGGATAAATTTGCCTACACAGTCCTTTTGCAGGATATTCAAACCAAAGCAACCACTGGGTAGAGCATTCAATTTTATAGAAAGGGCCACTTTTTGATAAGGACTGCAAGTCCGGTTGGTAAAATATAACAACAGAAATATTGTTTCCAATTTTTTAAGGTGTTTAAGGGGTAAAGATAACACAAATCAAAAATACCTAAGCAGAAGACAAAGCCCCGTAGTCCACGAAATCATTTCTTCAATAAAAGAACTTTAGGACATCTCTCCTTAAATCACCATACTACTATGTCAATTTCTTTTCAAAAGCCAGACCGCCCTGGCAAATCAGGGGGGAATAAAGTGGGAGGGACAATGTCAATGCAAAATTCTGAACTGCTCTATAGAAAGTATGGATAGGCTTGTTATCATTTACTTCCTGCAGTATATCATTCAATTTCAGCTGTCTCCCGTTTCAGGTAGCTCCCCATTTCTCACTTATGTGCTTGAGAAACATCTCCCTGGCATCTCATTCTCTCCCTCTGTCTTTCACTGGCATTTCATTATTTCTTAACTGTCCCTCTCATGCTCATCTCCTTTTTTCCCAGTGACCCACGTGTCCTCATTTAGCAGTTTTCAGAAGCCAGAGAGAAATGTTGCAAATAATGTTAAATATGATTAATATCTTGAATTCCTTGAAATATGACATGCATGAGTTACAATGAAACCTCTTTTATTTCCCCATGAAATGCTTTTGCATAATGAGAAAGAAAATGTCCTCTATGCCCTAATCAGCCCTGACAGTTCCTGGACTCCCAAATACTTTTATTTATGGCATTATTTATTTCATCTCTAATAAATGGAGGGGGGAACAGCACCATCTGAAGAGGCTACAGCAGAGAGGGAGACAGTCTAGGCTGGAGAAGTACAGAAGCTGAACCAGGAAAGAAGCAAGAGAGTGCTTCCAAAGGAAGGGAGATCTGGGAAATGAGAGGCAAAAGACCTGGACCCCAGAAGAAGCAAATGGGTCACGTTCCCAAGGCTAAAAGGAAAGCTAGCTTCAGAGTGGAGAGATGAGTGTCATACATCAAGGAGCACCCAGAGTTCTGACCTGGATAATGAAGAATCAAGGCTGGAAACCGAATCAGTATGAGGATGCTGATACTGCAGTTGGCCCCAAGAAAAGGACATCTTGGTGGGTATTTAGCTCAGTGGCATAAAAGCCTGCCTGACTAGGGTAAGGACATGAATTCCATCCCCGGTACAAAAAAAAAAAAAAAAAAGAAGAAGAAGAAAAAGATACCTGAGCTAAGGAGAATAGGCTGCTCAAAAAGTGGCTGAGGGAAGCCCAGGATACCCACCATGTTTGAAGACATCTGTACCCATGGGGTTTGTCCTCCAAACCATTGAGATCTTCTGTCAAATGACTACTGGGATTGTGGGTTCTTCAGAAACTCAGGCCTGGCGGCACCAGTTACACTAAATACTTTACTGGTCAGTTCAGGAGGTGAGAGCCCTTAGGCCATCTCGATCCTGTAGGAGTGTGAGATACACAGGTAGAGAGATAGATCTCATATGTATCACATGTATAAAATATATATATATATAACATTTTCAAAAACTAAAGTATATACATCATTTTAAAATTATTAACATGCCCAAAGGAGGTACTGTTTTCTCCCCTTCTACGCTGTACTTGCTGTAATAGAGATTTGAATTCAAATGTGCTCAATTCATCTGCACAACTCTGTCGTCCACACCTGACAATCCGACTTTGGCCAATTCCTTTCAGTCTTGCACAGCCTCAGTTTTTCTCATCTGTACAATGGGTAGACATTAAGAGTCAGGTATTCTCTTGGAGTCCCTAAAGGAAAACAAACGAAATACCATGAAAGCACAGCATGGTGTGCACTTTTAGGATCAGTATATACTCAGAAGCCTCGAGGCAAGTAACAGCAGGACTCCGAGGCCGCGCAATCACTCAGACACGGGATCTTCCAGATACCCTCTTCCTAAGGTTGAGGGGGCAATTTCCGTCTGGAAAGACTCGCGGTAGCACACACCCACTCGGGCGGCCCCGCCCTCTCTACGCACCACCCCCTCGGTGCAACTCCGAGAGTTCGAGGTCACGCAGGAGGGCGCCAGGAGCGTACTTCGGAAGCTAGACGCCGCCGGCCGGCCAGGAGACCCCTCAAGTCCACCTCGGAGGCACCGACCGCTCGCTCTGGCCAGGACCCCGGCGCCCACCTGGTTGACCCGTTCCTAGGACGCCCTCCAGGTTTCTGCTCTCCTTTCCCCTTCCTTCCCCCTCCCCCCGTTTCCCCGTCGTAGGCGCCGACCTAGAGTTCAGACTCGAGGGCTGGCGGGCGGCTGCAGCTCCAGGCCCCGCCCCCGACCCCATTATCATTAGCAGATATTACCCTAAACACTTGCTCTTTACCTCCTTTCTCCCTCCAGGCATTGGCGAGGCGGCCTGTCAATCAGCGCTCGGGCGGCAGCCCCCCGCGCGGGGGCTCGGAGATGCCAGCCTCAGCGACAGGCGGCGGCGGCGGCGGCAGCAGCCACGGCACAGACACACACCCTCCCGCACGCGCGCGCAGGGGCGCAGCCTGGGCGCGGGCGGCACAGGCACCCTCGGAGCCTGGCGCCTGGCAGGGAGGGGACGCGCGACGGGGGCCCGGCCCTGAGGCGCGGCATGGAGGAGGAGATGCAGCCGGCGGAGGAGGGGCCCAGCGTCCCCAAAATCTACAAGCAGCGCAGCCCCTACAGCGTCCTCAAAACGTTCCCCAGCAAGCGGCCGGCGCTGGCCAAGCGCTACGACAGACCCACCCTGGTGGAGCTGCCGCACGTGCGGGCGCCCCCCCAGCCGCCGCCGCCGCCGCCGCCGCCGCCCTTCGCGCCGCACGCCGCCGGCTCCATCAGCAGCAGCGAGCCGCCGCCGCCGCCGCCGCCGCCGCCCCAGTTCCCGGCGCAGACTTCCTACCCCCCCGCGCCTGGTGGCCGGGCCGCCGCCGCCGCCACCTCGTCGTCGTCGCCGTCCTGCACGCCCGCCGCGCCCCAAGGCCACCTGAGGACTCCGGCGCCGCCGCCCGCCGTCCCCGCCCCGTCGTCGTCGTCGTCTTTCGCCGCCGTCGTCAGATACGGGCCTGGCCCGGCGGGCGCGGGTGGCAGCGGCGCGGGTAGCGACGGCGCCAGCCTGGAACTCAGCGCAGGTACCAACTCTTGGGCGCAACTTTGCTTCTCGCCGCGGTGGGGAGGGGGGGAGTTGGGCACCGCGACGCCTTCCCGCGCGCCCGGGCTTGATGTGAGGGACGCGGGACAGAGAGGGTCGGGGCGTCTGTGCGCCTCACGCACCGATAGCAACTTCTAGAACATTCCCGGGCGGCGCCGTGGCGGGGGCTTCCGACGGCGCGCGGTTAACAGGTGGCTCCGCGGCCCAGATCCCGCGCGCGGCACCGCGGCGCCGGCGGCTGGGTCCTCGAGGTGGGCGCGGGGCGCTCCGGAGTGACAGCTGCGACCACTCCGGGGCCAGGCTTGACGGCCCTGCGTGCAGCCCTCTTTTTCCCTTCCCGCTCTCGATTTTCCACTCGTTTCCGCCCCTGCCGCTTCCTTCTGCTTTTCCTTCTCTCCGGCTCTTCTTTGCGTGTGGTGTGTTCCCTCCACCTCTCCGAGGCGTTCTGCGCTCGCGGTCCACTCCGCCGGGCGCTTTGGCTCTCATTTCTTTTTTCTCTTTCTCCTCTTCTTCCTGTGCGCTTACGTTTGCTGTGCGCTCGCTGTGGCCGGCTCTTTGCGGGCCGGCCCCCAAGCACCCACAGCCCACCCGAGACACTGGGCCCCGCCGCACCTCCTGCAGTGCTCTTGGGTTTAGGGGATGTCGCCCCTCCCAGGCGTTCGGGTCCCCGCCGCCCGTGTCATAGTCTACACTCGCTGCGTGGCGTAGGGTCCTGACTCTCGCTAGTGTCTGAGTTCTAGTCTCGCAAAGATACTTCCAGGGGCCCCCACCCCAGGTGCAAGACCCCAGACGCCTCCCTCTCCCCACAGCTAGCGCACTGCTTGCCTGCCTGCCAGGGACGCGGGCTGGAGGAGGCAAGGCCATGGCTGGAGCCTGCACCCAAGGACAGTGTCAGCTCCCTAGGGATGCGCGGCCACGTTTATCGCACATCAGAACTACAAGTTCTGTTCAGGCCTTTTATTACACATTATTCCCTCCCCACAAAGTCTAGTTGTCAGTGAACCTGAGGGGGTTTCTTTCCCCCAGTAAAAAAAACAGTATTGTCTCTAAATGGGTTATAGATGCCTGTGCTAAATATTCTGTTGCTTGTCAATATTTTGACAGTGAGAGATTGGTTTTGAGAAAGGAAACCTAATTACAGGTTACAGTAAAGCCTTACTCTGTCATATCCCTCACTGATTTTAAGATATTTGACAGTTTCGAGTGGGTTTCTTAGGTGGGCTGCCTTATTCTTTGTAGGGTTTTTGCCTTTTTCTTTAGTTCTTGGCTGAGTAGTCCATTGTGTTTTTATATTCATTGTTAGGCTGCTCGCTCCATTTTCAATTTTTTATTTTCTCACTTAATGAGGTTCATGTTCTCTCTCTGGATTTGGAGTCTTACTCTCCTATGCTGCTTGTTCCTATTTGTGTTTATTACCTAGTGTAGCGTCTCTGGCTTGTTTATCTTACCTTGTTTCCCAGCAGCTTGGGTCTTTTGGCCTATTTACTGTATTTTACTTTTTTGCATAACCTCGACTCTACCATGTACATTGGCTTTTCCCCCTTTATCTGCCTAGTTCAGTTTTTGATCTTTATCCTTTAAGGCTTTGCTGTCTTTCAGCCTTTTACTTTATATTCTGTACATCTACCCCGACTCATTTCCTTCATCCCTAAATTCAAATTGCTTTTGCTACCAGATTTCCGATATTGTTTCTTATTTTCTGCAGCAGTTGGTTCCCATCCTTTCTGTGGTTCCTTGTGTTCTGGAAGTGTCTCTGCTGTCTTTCCTAAATGTGGAATTTTTTTGGTTCCCCCTTACCTATTCTGAATGTTTGCTTTCAGTATTTAGTGTAATGGCTTATTGAGCTTATCTGGTCTCTGTCCTCAGGTAGGAATCCACATCACTGATTCTAAAGATACAAAAGGGAATTTTCTGATGCGTTTCAAACTTCTCTATATTGCCTTTAATTGTCAAGGCCTGTCTGCCAGCCTTCCTTTCTACCTCCTTCTTAGCAAGGTCCTAAAGTTGGTAGCACAGAGAGGAGGATACTTGTTGGAAAAATGGGAATTGGATAGTAGATTTCTGCTATGCAATGAGGAAAATAGTCCAAGGGGGAAAATAAGCTGTGGGAGTGGACGTCAGTAATTATGGTCATAATATGAATCATTGATGGACAATGCCATCTTAGCGGGTACGGTGATGTGAGTAGCCATCAGAGGGACAGACACCTGAAGAGCTGATTGGTTCCTTGAGGAACTAATGGTTCCACTTTGAACCAATGAGCTTGTGTGCACACTACAGCCATTTAAACACGTGGGATAGGGGTGGGGTGGTGCTTTGCCTGTTGCAACCTCAAAAAAGTGCAGTTGCAGTGTCCCTGCCCACCTAGGAAACTGAAAACAGTCAAAACAGCGAGATGCCGTGAGTCCAGGCTACAAGAGGCCTGACTGTTCAGGGTAAATGCAGTGAAAAGATGAAGGGGCTGAAGTGAATCTTATATGCCATTAAAGGCCATAAACCATTGAGAAGGGAAGTATGGGATTAAAAATATATTTTTTTCAACAGTCTTATAAAATCTCATGAAGAGTATAATTTTCCTTAAAAGAGGTAGTACACCATGATTTTAAAAGCGTATTTTTCCTCTGTGGGAGGCTTAGAGTTAAAACCCACGTAGATCTTGATATGCAGCCTAAATTTGGCATCAGGAAATGGGAAATTGCATCTTTAAGCAGAGTACAATCAAAAATGAATTACAATAAATCCTATATAATTGCATAGGTCATTCTCTTTAATGAGATTTTATTAACCTGACTGTCAAGCTTTTGAGTCAGGCAGATATTTTATCTTCTTCAACTGATAAAAGTGTCAGCTATAAACCACCATATAAATATTCATAAATCTACACATCTGTGGCAGCCTATCAGCATCATTCTTTTGGACATTAAAAGCATTCTAATTACTTTCTGTCTAGCAGAGCTGAAATGCTGCCTGTTATAGTATGTGCTTGGCAAGCATGATTGCTTTTGTTTGCCATCACAAATAGCAGCATCCTATTTTATATACCGATGGTCCAGAAAATATTCAGGGATTGACTGAGCAGGATGAATATTAGGAAGCACCATCTGGTTTTGATAGCACTGAGTATATTAACTCATCTGTTAATTTTTGACACATCATTGATTTATTTATTTAGAAAAATTGCATCCTGTTTTGCTGTGTTGATGTTTGCCATTATAAAAAATTGGATGGCATTTTTTTTAAAAAGACATCATACATTGATTTAAGACAGGGTGATGCTTCTAAAGATGCTTTCATTTTCTAGCTTCCGTTTTCCAAGATATAAAGTCCTCTCTTGAAAAGAAGTTGCATCACTGTTATAAGGAAATCATCTATTTTGAACTATTTAGAAATTTTCTTTGGTAGATATAATATATGGATACATAATGGTGGGTTGCTGAAAAATTTCTGCTTCTACATTTTCAGTATTAATATATTTCACCCTTCACTGGACTAAAATCAAAAGGCTACCACTAATCTTTAGTACTGTGATATCCCTTCCTAGAAACAGAATTCTCCTGGGGTTCTGCTGTGATGGGCACATTCCATTCAAGGCTTTCTTACAAAGAAGGACCTTAAAGTAGAGAGACTGTGTTTGATTGTTACTCCCTATCCCTCTTCTTAATCACTTATCTGGTTTAGGATAGATTAAGCCACTTAAGTCCAGAAGAATTTTAAGAAATGAAGTTTTTAATTGAAAAAATAATTGTGGGTTAGAGGTTGGAATAAGGCTAGGCACACTTTGCAGCATGATATTATCTCCCAACAGGTTGCACAATAAAGCAAAATAAGCTAGCAGAAATGTCATTTTAGAGTGCTTTGTGATTTATTAATATTTTATAGTATTTAATTTTAGAGGAATTAGGAATAAAATGGGCAATTTTAAAACCTTTTTTTGTAAGCTGTTGACTTTGTACTTTGCTGCCATCCCTTGAGTATGGAGCATTTTGTGACCAAAAAAAAAACAGTTCAGAAGAATCAATATGTTCATACTTTGCTCACTTAAGAATCATAGGTCAGGGCCAGGGATGTAGCTAAGCGGCACAGTGCTTTCCTGGCAAGTAGAAGGTCGTGAGTTTGATTCCTAGTACCAAAAAAAAATCATGGATCAGTGCCTATGAAATTAACTGAGAAGAGTTGCTATTTTCCCTATCAATTGTAATAGTATACTTTTTTTTCATCCTTCTCCATGTATTGTTAAAATACAAAATGTGACTCAAATATTTTAAGGTACTGAAGAGAAATTCAACTGTAGTATTTACAGTTGCTGTTTTGTATTTACCAATTTTGAGAACAAATTCATTCAGAATGAAGCATTTTAAACACTGCAGGCAAGAACAATTTTATGATTGTAACTATCCCTTGATATCCTGAGTGCACTTTAATAGATTATCTTCATAATATAGCATATTACATAATGATTTTTTCTCAGCATGTTATGAGTTTATCTTTCAATTAAGAAAACAAATCGCATTTGTCCCTAAGTCAGATTGTTTTCCCTTAAAATCTATGCCATGATGCGATTCATCAATATGATTAAAACTACTATTTTATAGGACATCAAATATATTCGAGCAGCTCCTTCTAGGTAATCCTATTTTAGCCTCTCCTTGCTTATTTGTCCTTTTCATCAAGGTTATGTTAAAGGTGTATAGGCTGTAAGTCATCTGGGTCTACACTGATTAAAATGCAGACAGTAAATATAACTTTAGGTCTACAATGGGATTATAGGATTAAAATGAATGAAAACTGCTATTGTGCCAGAATTAGCATTTCCAATCAATATCATCCTTTGATTTTACTAATAAAAAAACAAAGTAAAAGTAAAAAATGAGAGTGCCAAATCTGCCCCCCCCCCCCGGTCTTTTTGAGACAGAGTCTCTCTGTGCAGTTCAGGCTGGCCTTGAGCTCACTTTGTAGCCCAGGCTGGTCTCGAACTCCCAATGATCCTCCTGCCTCAGCCTCTCGAGTGCTGGGATTACAGGCATGAGCCACCACGTCTGACTGAGAGTGCCAAATCATAAACCGACTCACTTGTACAGTTCAGCTGTTTACTTTTTTATTTGGTTTAAGGCATTGTAAAGAAATGGCACTCAAATATTTGTGGGACTAAATAATTTAAAAGCATGAGTCAAGCTAACAAGTAAGAGTATATTATATTCACCTGTCTTGATGAGTATACCTTCATAATGACCAGGTTTAACTGAGGGTTTCAGCTAGTTCATCTTCTTTTCCCATTGCCAGCCTTTGGGGTTCCACTAGGAGGCACCTCATATACACGTGGTTTCTCTAAGCCGCACTGGAAGCTTTGGGACCATGGTCTGTTTTAGTCTGTAGCTCAGGAAGTGGCCAGCATAGGCCCTTCAAGCAGTTTGCGTAGGAACTTCTAGGTTTTGGGTGCCTCATGAAGGGGCGAATATTGACTGGAAATGAAGGGCCACAAGAGGAATACATACTGTATGCCAGGCACTGTGCTTTGCTGAAAGTACTAAGAAAAAAGTGGAGCATTGAATACTGCATGCAGAGGCCCCCTGTACTCCCGTATTTTGGTACTGTGGATTCAGCCCAGTGCCTGTACACTGAGCAACAGCCCTACCCCATCCCCTTGTAAAAGTTTGAGTCATGGTCTCTCATTGAGTTGTCTGCGCTAGGCTTATACCTTATTTCTTGCCTCAGCCTGCCATATATCACCATACTCAGCTGCATGGAGGTTCTTATTTCATTAGTTAGATGGCCTGGATTTTCTAGAGAGGGCTTCTTATTGCCAGTGTTCTGGTTCTTTGTCCCATAAAAGCCCTCAAGCATCTCCAATTTTTGTCTTAAAAGTAACCCCCATCCCAGGGGGAAACTATTAGTCAACACTTTCAGAGGGATTACTGTAATTAGTCATATAAGACTTACTGGCATCTAAAATGTCCAGTGATTTTATTTGTTTCCATTATTCTGGGTAAGGAGAAAAGGAAATAAGCATCCTCGTGTGATTGTGTAAGTCACCTGTGCATCATAGCTCATTCTAGGAGGTAGCAGGAAAGAAGAGAATCTACCTTATAACATTTACATTTAGGGTGAATTTTCAACAATCTTAGACTGTAATGTTAACATTTTCACATTTTGGGAGTTTTTTTCCCTTTGTTTTTGCAGTGAGTTGATTGGTTTCTGTTTTCTTTTTACTTTTCATTGCTTGGTAGTTAATATGCTTTAGTTCGTGTGTATAAGCTACCCTAGCACCCACACCTTGTGCTGTTTTGGGAGATTGAACAATCTCATGGAAGTGGCTCTGAAAAGAGACATTCATGTTTTACAAATGATACTGATGTAGGTCAGCCCAAAGATGCCTTTGACAAGAAGTCCAACTTAGGAGGTAAATTAAAAGAATAGTGAGCAGAGCAGATACTGGCTAACACATACGGTTTTGTTTTGTTCGTCCTTTGCCTATAGGCTCACTCTTTGTTTTATGTTAGATTTCTAGTGCACTCTTCAAAAAGACTTAGCTTTCTCCTCCAGTTTGCATCTGAGAGCTACGTATTCTCAGCAGAGATTGTATCAGCTGATTAATAGCAAGAGCATGAGGGCACTCCAGAAATAGAAGTAATGATTGCGTTAAGCCTTCCTATCAATGAGGCATTGAGGGTGCAGTGGCTGGCTCAATTCATTAGAGTATGGGTATTAATGAAGCCAAAGGTGTGAGTTTAGATCTGTGCAGGCCAGTTGTCACCACAGAAAAGGAAATGTCCTTATGATGCTCTCAGAGTTGCAGTCCAGCTCTTTCTTACAGTGAGGGGCTAGGGTGACTCATCAGGCAGGACAACAGGAAGCTATTTGGCTGGGAATTGTGAATTCATCTCGTCACTTTGATTTTTCACAGTAGAAATACATATTTTTAACATACTTGAGTATTAAACTCTAAATTGAAGACCTTGCTTCTTATTTGCTTTTGGCTGTCAGTAACTGATGTTTCTTCTTTCATTTCAGAGAGTCGTATGATCTTGGATGCCTTTGCCCAGCAGTGCAGTCGAGTACTTAGTCTCTTAAATTGTGGAGGAAAACTTCTGGACTCCAGCCATTCTCAGTCTATGATTTCTTGCGTAAAGCAGGAAGGCTCTAGTTACAGTGAAAGACAGGAACAATGCCACATTGGGAAAGGAATCCACAGTCAGACCTCAGACAGTGTAGACATAGAGATGCACTATATGCAAAGGAAACAACAGACTTCTGCCTTTTTGAGAGTTTTCACTGACTCTCTCCAAAATTACCTGCTCTCGGGGAGCTTTCCAACTCCAAACACCTCGTCGGTCAGTGAGTATAGCCACCTGGCCGATGTGGATCCTCTTTCAACCTCCCCTGTGCACACACTAGGTGGCTGGACCTCCCCAGCGACATCTGAATCCCATGGCCACCCATCTTCCTCTACACTGCCCGAGGAGGAAGAGGAGGAGGAAGAGGAAGGCTACTGTCCTCGATGTCAGGAGTTGGAGCAAGAGGTTATTTCACTGCAACAAGAAAATGAAGAGCTCAGAAGGAAATTAGAGAGCATTCCGGGTATGCTGTCATACTACTTGCTGGGCACCTAAGCTCATTACTTTCAGGTGTTTCAACTGTTAAGATGAATAGGTGTGTGTGTACTTTTTTTCCCCCACCAGTGATGTAGAAAAGTTGGAAAAGTGGGCATGCACAAGGAGTCGTTAGGCTTCCCTTTGCCAAACCGGTTTCAGGATGAACCACTAGCGTGTCTTGTCTGTGTTTCAGCTACAGTGTTCTTGAATGTAGGTGAGGAGAGCATAGTTTTCATGAAAGACATATCTATTGATAGTAAAGTAATTCCTGGATGTGGGGCCTTGACATTGAAATAAATCAAGTGCTATGAGCCTGAGTTGTGTTCATAAAGTGTCAGTTAAAATGGCTTTTACACTTTTAAAACTCAAACATCGATAAAAATTAAAACGAAACCAATCTTTTCAGCAGTAGGACTTAACTAGTACTGAACAAATGAGATGATCTCTTCTGTTCCGTTAATTTCTCTCTCCTTTCTTGTTAAGTTTCAATAAGCAGTCCCTTTGCAGCATGCAGTCAGTTAATAAGAAACTGTAAACTAACAGGCCAGAGATAAACCAGGCTAGCCCTAAACTATTTGTGCCCCTGGCTAAACCCGAGGCATTTCCTGCTACTTAAAGACTACATTTCTAGAGAAGCAGAGTTGTTTTTATACCAAGACCTTCTCTGGATTGCTAAATTGTTTTTTCACTCCTTGAAAACAAAACTTTGGATTTCACTACTACCGCTCATGTGTGTTGTCAGGGGCTTAGTGGAATAATATCTTTGAATCTTTTGAATCATGCATCCTGAGGAGAAGAGATTTTGGAGCATGTTCCTGTCAGTCTACATGTTTAATGGTTAGTTACAGACTAAAGTGGCTATATTAATATATTATGTTAATAGTATGACATGTATAATTTAAAAATTAAGACTGCATATGTACATACATAAAATGTATGTATATGTTGTGTTGTTTTCTTGATCCAGTGTCTTCATACCTCTCAATTTGATAGCTGATCTAGAAGTACAGAGTGCTGAAGAAGTCCCCTTCTTGTTTATTATGACACATAGAAGCAAACAAGTGTTAAGAACTGCGAGTTAGAGGGGAGAGAGGGAAAGGGAAGGAAACATAAAAAAGAATTGCCAAATTAGAAATTAATCAGTTTTCCACTCTCTTATTGAAAAAAATTACCCCAATAGAATCAAAACTTGTTTTGGAACATACGAGAATTAGATTAAGTAAAGTAGTTCTGGGGGATGAGAATCAAGAGGGTGTAGTAAATCTAGTCTTTATTTTTGTGTTTGAGCTCTGAGGAATAGGTGCATGGTGTTGCCTCAAGCCAGGTAGGTGCTCACTGCCAGAGATAAGCCAGCTAGAACCTGAAAGCTTATAATGGGACCAGAACACTGCTCATTTCCTCTAAGTCAAGGAGGTAGGGTGCAGATAACATCCGGGGTTTTGCAATTCTCAGAGCTGAAGTGTGGTCCACTCACCATTTCAAGGGGTTATTTTTGTATCTTTGCACTGGGGAGAAAAGAATGTCCTGGAGATGACTCCAGCTGCAGTGCCAAAGAAATGGCATTGGCACTTTGTCTTTCATATTAGACAGTCACAGCAGAAATTAGAAAGTCTGTTAAAAAGGTAAATGTTTTGAAAAGAAATGAAAATAGATTAAAGGAAAACCACAGGAGGGAGAGATCCAGATCAGGAATGTGAAGTGCTGAATACTTACTAGAAGGAAATGACAGGTGAAACTTCCCAATGGAGAATGTCGGGTTGGGGTACTCATACTTATTTAACCTCCAGACTTTTCTATGATAGCTGCACCAATATACATTCCCACCAGAGGGGACAAGAGTTCTAACCCTTTCTCTGTGCCCTTAGCAGTGCTTGTTAACTTTTACCTTATGATAATCGTACTCAGAGGTGTGAGATAATGCATTAGTGGTTTTCATTTTCATTTCCATAAGGATTGTTTGATGTTAGGTACCTTTCTATTTACCTGTTAATCTTTTTTCTGTAGAGAAAAGTGTATGTAGGTCTTTTGTGCATTGAATTGGTTGTTTTCTACTGTTAAGTTGTATGAATTCCTTTTATTGTCTTTTTTTTTTTTTTTTTGTCTTTTTGATACAGGGTCTTGCTGTGCAGTTTAGGCTGGTCTCAAACTTGCAACAATTTTCCTGTTCCTCCTGAGTGCTGGGATTTAGATGTGTCACCACACCCAGCTCTTTATGAATTCTTTATAAATTTTAGCTATAAACACTTTATCAGATATGTGATTTGCAGATATTTTTTCCTAATTTGTGGGCTTACTGTTTCATTATGTCGATTGTTTTCTTAGCTATGTAGAAGCTCTTTGGTTTAACATTGTTGCATTTATTTTAGTTTTGCTTTTGTGGCTTGAGCTTTTTGGAGTGATATCCAAAAAAGTAACTGCCAAGGTAAGTGTCTAGGGGCCTTAAACCACCCCTCCCCTATGTTCTCTTCTGGATTTATAGTTTTAGGTCTTTTGCTTAGGTTACTGCTAAAATCAATGTCCAGAAGCATTTCTCTTTTGTTCTCATAGATTAGTAGTTTCTGGTCTTATATTTAAATATTTTACGCATTTTAGGTTGATTTTTATGTATGGTTTCAAAGTAAAGGTCTGATTTAATTCTTTGCATATGGAAATCCAGTTTTCTAAGTATCCTTTATTAAAGAGTATTTCAGCATTTTTGTAAGAAATACCATTTTCTAACTGTGTATTTTTGATCATTGCCATTTATTGTAACTCCAAGGCCCCACAACAAATACTAGTATCATTCCCATTTCATAGATAAGTTGAGGCTACAATAAATAGGTAGAGACTTGAAATCCAAGCTCTTTGACTCCATACATAATTTGTTACCCTATCCCACCCCCAGAATACAGCTGGTGCTTCTTCACAGAAGTTACATCCTTAAGCATCACCATGAACACAGAATTAGCAAATACTTGAGAAATTACTCTTGAGGGAAAAGCAGAGCTAAGTTCCCAAGAGCCTTTGCTCACAGCGTTTTCTTTCTTTTTTTCCCTATTATTTCACAGCTAATCAATACATAACCTTGTTTTATGTGTGTTCATTTGAAAAGACCTTATTTAATATTTATTGCTGGTTGATTAACATTGAACTCACAGGCATCAGCATTATAACTCATGCTTGAATGAAGCTTATCTAATGTACGTGTTTTTCCATAAGACACATCACAGCCTTCCTCAGCCTAGAAACATAAAAAGCACTTCAGCCATACAATTGAAGGCCATTCAAAGTAGTGACACCACCAACAAAAATAGAACATAGCACTAAATAGATCATGACAAGACACTTGTTTACAGGATGAGAGCTCAAACCAAGAGGGCAGAATCTTTCTTTTCAAGTCTCAGCTGGGAGTTGGGGATGTCAGGTGACTCAGGTTTCCTGAGGCTTCATGTGTGTCTGCCAGTGTTGATTTGTACATTTTACAGAGACATTTTAGTAAGCAGGCAAAATCTGCAATCCTTAAATGTGGCTTGACCATAACTCACAAGGCTACAAAATAGATTATATAGTTGGATTATGCAATTCTGATCCTATTAGTCCACTATTGTCACTTTCTAAGTAAGAAGATTAAAAAAATCATAAATCAATAATGTCACTTGTTGGTTAAAGGAATTTTGCAAGAACAAAAAAACCCCTTAGAATAGGTGCAGTATAGGTATAGGATAGGCCATTTACTGGCTGTGCTTTTCGTGAATCATTTCTGATCCTCAATTTCCCCTTTCCATAAAACAAGTTTAATAACACTATAGGAATAATGAAAATATTAAAGTCAGTAAGTGGCAAGTGAGTGCCTACTGGGTCTCCAGCGAGCCCTCAGTAAATACCAACTTTAAGAAAGGAGAGGGCAGCTGTTTTGTGCCTAGCAAATGGAGACTTCAGTGGTTTCCCTGGATGGTAAGCAGTGTTCTTACCTGGTAAAGAGGTAACACTTCAACACCCAGGTCAGGTGCCTCAGCTATAACTGACCTCTCTCCTGTTTACACTCAGCTCCATACCTCTGGATCCCACCTTTCGCTATTCCCAGCATTACGCAATATGCATTTTCAAATGCTTTTACAAACAGGGAAGAAATTACAAATACTATCAGGCTAAGTACTAAGTACTTAGCATTTACAGAGACTTTTTCTTCTGTTGGTTTGTTTGCTGCCAGGGATCGAACTCATGACCTCGCCTTTGCCAAGCAGGCACTTACCCTGTTGAGCTAAACCTCTGGCTTTACAGAGACTTTAAATAGTTTTAGATTCCTTTATAGCCTGATTCCCTTTTAATAGAAGTTTCTGGTAGTTTTTGTCAAATGAACAAGTGAATGAATGAAATCTACTCAGGGATGGGAGGTTGTAGTCTTCATCAGCCAGGATGATTCACTTAAATTCATAATTCACATGAGGCAGTTAGGGGTGGGGCCTCTAGGAGCTTAATCAGCTCCTTGAGGACCCTGCTACTGATCTTTTTCTAGGTTAAGCTCTGACCTGGCTCTCTTTCCATGAAGACGGAGGAGTGACGTGGTGGCAGAACGCACAGGACTGCTGCACATGGCACCTTGGCATGTTGCACCCCAGTCTGCGAGGGCCATGTCCTCCCTTGGAAATTATGATAGTCATCCACAGAACCAAGGGACAAGAGAACAGGTGCTTTTCCACTATGGCTTTTCAGTGGCTCATGTAACTGTGGGTCGAGGTTGTATGTTTCAGCCTCACTTCATTGCACCTATTTCCACTTCCCAGATTGACTGATTTGGTTTTTGGGGTTTTTTTGTTGTTGTTGTTGTTGTTTCCTATATACACACATACCCAGCAGAAAACATTTCACTTAGTTGTGCAGCTCTCCTGTTTCAATCTAGGGAACTATCCAAAAAACTTTTAGTCGTAAATGAATGTTCCACAGTCTTGGCAAGGGCACACTCTGACCTTGGGTTGCAGGGGCATGTGGAGGGTCTGCCGTATAAGAACTGGGCAGGAAAAAAAAAAAAAAAAGACCTGGGCAGGAGAATGTTAGGGGAGATCCTGGAAGGAGGGAGTCACTGTGAGTGCCCAGGGCAGTGACTTTCACACAGGAGGCTGAATTTGCGCTTTGTCCTCCATCTTTTTGGCCTTTATCCTTATACCCCTAGATACCGGTGTATAGAACCTACTTATCTTCTACCCCCCCCACACACACACACGATATACAAATGCACATAAGACTTCATTTTCTTCCAATATAGGAGCCAGCAGTCCTTGATCAAAGCTTACTCACTGTGTTTCCCCAAAGATTAGACTTAGCTGGAAAATACGTCTCAAAAACTAGAAACCAAAACCACCAGCCCCAGTCAGTCTATCTTTGCCTTGTCTTCCTTACAGAATAGCCACCAACAAAAGAACAGGAATAGCATGGTGTGTTTTGTTTTGTTTTTGTTTTTAAGATTTAGGATTGTTTGCATATACAGTGATGTTTTGGGTTCATGAATTTAATTCTTTCCACATTTCTGGTTTCAAACCAAACTGGACAAGAACCAAATCAGTATTTCCCCATAAGGTCAACATTGAACCTAACCATTGAATTTGATTCAGTTCTTGTCCATTTCAGTACATAGTGAGATCTTTGGGAATGGGGCCAGGTCTAAATAAGAAATTTATGTTTCATACAAACCTTGCCTAAAGCTCATTTAATACATTTTTATAAGGACAACAATGTAAAGGAATAGTAGCTATCAGAATCCCATGGCTGAAGTATGAATCCTTATTTATTGTTAGTAATACTTTGGCTTTTTTTCTTTTACACATAATTATTTTTAAGACCATAGAAGTAACACTGGATATTTGGTTTCATATGCTGCCTTGTAAACATTTTTGTGCTTCATTTAAACATGTTTTAAAAATCATCTTCATGGCTGTAAAATACAGGGAAGGAATCAAAGGAAATTCACTCTCCTAATTAGTCAATGGACATTTACAAGTTTTGCTAAAATTTCCAAGCTAAAGCCAAGGTTATCCATTGTGCATCTTGTATACATCACTTGGCTAGGTAGTGACCTGTATACCATTGCATTTTATCCTAACCATCATCTGTGGAAAAAGATGCTTTTTTTGGATGCTTGTACTCAGCCCCGTGTAGAAAAACTCTTTGTTTAGAAGTTTAGTGAATTCTAAAGATTATAGTGAATGAAAAACCCAGAACTAAAATTCGTGTCTCCTTGCTTTATTAGTTTCTCAATTCTTACGTTTTGTTGTTATTGTTTTCATAATTAATGCCCAAAGCCAGAGGATGTAGTCTTTCTTACTATGGCATTAGTAATGTGGGTTTTAAAGACTAGTAAAGACTTTTCATAGACTGGTGAAATTAGGACGGCTTGACAAGTTGCATTAAACTTCTGTTATGTAACTTTCTGCTTCATACTGATAGAAAAATGACTTTTTTTGGTTGGCTTCTGTGGTTGTTCAGCAAATGCTTCTTCAATTTCAAAACTTTTCTGGTCACTATTTATGGGCAGCCATGACAGAGCTCTGTAAAGGATGGTTACTGAAGAAAATTTTTGGCTGGGTCCTATAATCTCAGCACTCCAGAGAAGTAGGCAGGAATATTACCATGAGTTTAAGACCACCATGGTTTACATGGCAAGACCCTATCTCAAAAAAAGGAAATAAAATTGGCAAGAAAAAAATGTTTCTAATCTACTTCCTGTTATTTATACTTTTTAAAAGAATATTGGGGGAGTTTGGGATTTATTACATTACATGATGATGTCACCTAAAAACCCAAAGGCATTAGCAGTGTTAAGTTAATTACTTTTGTGTGCTGTCTGGGAAGAAAAATAAAGTGAGAAAAGGTGAGGAAAGGTCAGTGGTGACACTTGTAAACTGAGACTGAAGTTCAGTATTCATTATTTTCTTTAATGTGATAAAAAATATATTAAGAAAATACAGAGCTAAGGAAGATAGTGGCAGCAATCCATATAAATTAGTTTATTAACCAAGCTACCTTTAAAAGGAATTAGTTAATATTTATGAAAGAGCTGTGATACAAATCTTAAGCTGTAGGCATTATTTATGCAGTGGTACAAAAAAGTCACATTCTATATTGTTAGTATCTGTTCAGTTTTATTAGAATTATGCAATGTGTAAGACAAAGTCTCAAAAAAGAAAGAGCCAGTGAAATACATATTAAGTCTAAATTGGACCAAACTAGCTCAGCTTCTTGAAGAAGACAACGGATGCATTCAGTAAGAACTGCATCACCAGTTGTATTCACGTTGGGAAGCAGATCTCAATTGAATATAATTCCTACTCCTTGATGGCACTTAGGAGTAATTCTGTCATTTAAAAAGGATGGATTTGTCAATTTTTCTGTTTCCATAGCAAAATACCCAAAATTGAGTAACAAAGAAAAGGATTTCTTCCAGCTCATCATTTTGAAGACGGATAGTATAAATGTGATTCCAGCTCTAGCAAGGACCCTTGCAGCTGGATCACGTCACGGAAGTTGGCACTGTGGTGTGGACGGATGTGAGAGAGAGATCACTTAGTGAGACAGGGAGGAGCCATACAAACTCTTTTTTCGCAACCCCTCTCTTGGGAACTGATTTAGGGTTCCTGCCTCCGTTCTTTCAGGGCTTTTCTTATTCACCAGATTACCTGGCACTAGGCCCTGTCTCTTAAAAGTCCCAACATTTCTCAGGGTCAGTATACTAGGGACCAAGATTCTAGCATGTCATACCCAGTGCCTGGCAGTGAGTAATATATTATTGATAAAAACTAGTGAAACAATAGTTCTGGGAATTAATTTTTTAAAGCGCCATTAGGTGCTTATGCTACAATTGGAGTCAGATCTGTCTCCAGTCAGTTGTTCATGGTTACTATTGTTGACCTACATTGATCTTGGGAGTAAGTTGGAGAAAGTTCTCATCAAATTGTGCTGATCCTAAAAACTGTCCCTAAACTATAGCATCTGTATTTATAAACTGAAATAACTACGGATATCAAATAAAGAAAAATTCTGTTTCCTTTAGAAAGAAAATAAATCCTTTTTTATTTTTTTAGACGTTCACATCAACAGTCTCTTTAGGCCTCAGAGTTTTCTGTTGGCGTATTGAGAGGTTGCTTGCACGTGACCCTTGTCGTTCCTTCCCCCCAGTGCCCTGCCAGACGGTGCTGGATTACCTGAAGACAGTACTGCAGCACCACAACCAGCTCCTGATGCCCCAGTCAGCTGACCAGCCAACTGAGGTGAGTATCGGATGGAAGGAGACTGACATGCCCGGTGCACCTTCCTCAAGATGCAGCCTCTTGCTAATCAACCACTGTGCCAGAACAGACGGGCCGGCCAGATGGGTTTTGACTGGCAAGTTTATGAGTCTGTTACTTCTAGGGGTATGCCCTGTGGAGAAACATCACATGTGTTCAACTCACAGGGATTTAGTCTTGCGGGGAGGGGGGTAGGCCGGAAGTTCGGATAGCAATTTAAATGGGCTTCCTTTCACCTTTTCTACTCTTTGGTGGAATGAGAGCTGAAATGGAGACAGCAAACCAGTTCTGCTCTCAAGCAGAGCCAGTGTTCATGATGACTCGCCCTGTTGGGATCTCCCACACTGGCACTTAGAGAGAGAGAGAGAGAGAGAGAGAGTGAGAGAGAGAGAGGGAGTGTGTGTGTGAGAGAGAGAGAGAGACAGAGACAGGCTGGCCTTCAACTCAAGGCAGTTTTCCTGCCTCAGTCTTCCAAGTGCTGGAATTTTAGGTGTATGCCACATTCCCAGCTTCCCCAGGGTTTAAATAACCTATTTTCCAGAGCCCCTAAACATGTGCTAGTCTCTTTTGCTGGCCCTCTAGAAGAAAGCAGTCTCCTAGGAACAATTTGTCAACTTCGATAAATAATAGAATGTTACCAGTTTAAACTGTTAAGACAGGGTCTCACTGTGTAATTCAGGCTGGCCTTGAACTCACTACGTAGCCCAGGCTGGTGTTGAACTGATGGCAGTCCAGTCTCAGCTTCCCAAGTGCTGAGGTTATAGGTGTGCACAACCATGTCCAGCTCTGAATATTCATTTTCACAGGCTACCCAAGACCTTATTTTAAATACATTATTTTCAGTTTAGAACTTCAGAACATGGGCTATTCTTTGAGTATCACATATACCCATCTTCTCAACAGTGAAAAAAAACTCCATTTCATTTGTTCTTCGTTGCTCGATTTTTGCCTTCACTTTGCCCGTCCATCACAGCAGGCTCCTGAAGCATCTCCTACCAATACTTTCATGGTATCCTCCCTACTTTTATGGTAACGGGAATTGAACTCAGAGCCTTTGCACTGAGTTCTGTATCCCCAGGCCGTTTTATATTTCTTTTGAGGCTGAATCTCAGCACTTGCCCAGGCTAGACTTAAATGCACAATCCTCATGGCTTAGCCTTGTAGAGGGCTGGACCTGCAGGCATGCACCAGGATTCCTGGGGGACTTTCCCCCTCCTTGAACACTGGGGCAAAGTTTCATCCCTCTTAGTATTCCCAGTGCCTTTCCTAGAAGGTACACAGTTCATCCTTGCAGACCTTGCAGACCTCATTTTTTTTTTAATGATTAGATACTTGCAAGACTGGTGTATATTCATCCTCTCAGCTCATTACATTCCAATTTGCTTGTCCTCCCTGTTATCCTGCTTGATCTTCACCATTCCCCACAGAGTTGTGCAAAATGCTCCCGCTGCGTGTTCCAGCTGTCTGACTCAAGGACCTTGTCTACATCTCCTCCTCCCTGGCCTTTGTGTCATTGCTCTCTTGAGCTTCTGGTCCTTTTCTCACAGAGCTTTTACAAGTGTTTCCTCCATAGTTTCAGAGTTTGATCCTTCATCTTGGCTCGTCTCCACTGTTTCTCTGCTCAGTCATGTTCTTTCTCTAGACATGTACCGGGTTAACCAAGTCCCAAATGGACATCAAGAACACTGCCTCATATCTCACGTCCCCCCAAAATCCATGCTTTGGTGTTCTCTGAAGGCTCCACCAAGTCCAGGTAGAAATTCCTGACATACATTGGCTTTATTTCCTCTTCCTTGTTCCTGATAGCCAGTAATTATACAATTATGTAAATTGTCTCTCCTCTCTGGTTGGCTCTTAACACTTTGCCTGGACTTTATAATGAATTGTTTCATCTTCAGCTTCCACCTTTAATAGGAAATTGACTCTCTAAAATTAAAGATCCAAACTAGATGTCAAATGTTTGAAATTCTTTCATTACTCGACACTTTGTTAGTATAAAAGCACAAATGAAAAGTACACTTTCTCTAAGATGTTCTCCCTGATTATTCCTACCCGGCTTTCTGCTCATGTAGCATACTGCTCGAAAGTCTAACCCAAAACTGCCTATTTTTGTCTTCCATTTGCTTATGTGAGCCTATGAAGACATCGTCCTGATTTGTTTCAAAGTGACTCAAAAATTGGTTATAGGGGGCTGGGGATTTAGCTCAGCGGCATAAGCACCTGCCTTGCAAGCAGGCGGTCGTGAGTTCGATCCCTGGTACCGATAAAAACGAAAAAGACAAAAAAAAAAAAAAAAATTGAAAAATTGGTTATACTAATAACTTACTAGTGGCTAAAAAGGATATGGAATCCATATTCCATAAAATAGGGAAACTATATTTTCCCTAGGTAGGAGTATTTAAACTTTTATCGCCCGACATTGTCATTGTTACTATACTACTTTGTCATTTTAGGCCATGAGCGTGTTCGCATTTTTATTATTTATCTCATTTTATTTCTATTAACTGTGCTAAAACAGGATTGTAACTGTCACCCATAACCCACAGGACATTCTGAGTTGTGTTTCAGGCTGTAAATTACTTGCCCTGTTTCTTTGCCTCTTTCTTGATGAAAATTACTTCCAAATAGTACTCCCACATTTTATGAAACCAATATTTTATGTAAAGCTTCTGTAGTTTGAGAGACTGTTAAATTTTTTTGTGAATGGATTTTTTTAAGGATTTGAGAGGGGTCCTTTCTTGTCACTTCCTTAATCATAAGTACCTCCCATCCTGAAATTGATTATAGGTCCAGCACTAAACCAAGAGTAAATGCTAAATTTGAGAATAGTGTTCCCAGCTTTGCCGTTGGATTTGGGTCTTGCACACTGAGGGAAACAGGTTGTCTTTTAAAATTCTATAGTAGTAAAAGTAATAGGGGCTAGGGATTTAGCTCAGTGGCATAAGCACCTGCCTTGCAAGCGCATGGTTGTGAGTTCGATCCCTGGTACCGATTAAAAAAGTAACTATATAGTTTCCTTTTCTCAGGCTGGCAGGTGTACATTTTTATAGGGTCCATAAGAGCACAATTTTAAATTAAAGGTGGAAGTCTCTTTTTAAATGGCCCTTGTCTATATGGCTTTCAAAGTTCTTTCACTTTGCCAATTAATATTCATTCAAAGCTCAAGTTTTCCAGTACCACGGTGGTTATAAAAGAAAAAAACCCTTAACTGTAACCATCATTACTGAATGTCTGTATGTGCCAGGCAGAGTAGTATGTGTTGTGTGCCATCAGTCATTTGGCAAGTGTGCGCTGCACCCCCTGTGTGTCAGGCATTCTTCTTGGCTGTGGGAGAAGGGCCTTGTTTGCGTAGGACATAATTTAACCCTCAAGAGTTTTTTGTCTGGTGGGAGATTTGTGGATATCTCAGGACAAATCAGATAGCTGGGATTATTTTTCTGTTGTGAGAAAACGAAGGTGAAATTTAGAGAAGTTAGTCACCTGCCTGAGGCTAAACCGGAGCCCAGCTTTGTAGTACAAGTGGCCAACTGCCTGGGAGGAGAAAGGGCTCCTGCGGTGAAGAGTGCTTGGGGCAGGCACCTCCCGCTGGTCATCAAGTGCTCAGTAAGCAGGGACAGTTACTACTGGGGAGCCTGCCACCGCCAGCCTGAAATTCCACCACCCCAGTCTCCACCTGGCTCCTCCCCTGAGGGCAGAGAGGTCACAGGGCCAGAATTTGGATTTTTCCCTTCCAGTGCCTAGGAAGCAGAGAAGTTATTTCCCCTGCAGCCTGACTCCTCCTCGCAACCATACTCTTTTCACTATTCTGTGAGAATCATTAGCATTTCATGTGACAAACCATCTCCCCGCCTCAGTGTTTTGTGCTCTGGCTCATTGATGGTACCTGGCTCCTCAGTTCTGTGTCTCATTCTCTCTTCATCCAAGCCACCCTAGACTTCATTCAAACCTCGCCTCTCAGCGACCCTAGAGGGCGAGCTGGGCTGAAGGAACCTGTGGATTCTCAGTTCTCACACATGTTCTGTTCACCTCTGGGACTCAGGGTCCCCTATTATACAAGAGCCAAGTGTTGTGGATACTCCCAAATGTACACCTCAAAGACCTGTGCTCCTATTCCACAGATGCGGAAACTCGCTCAGCAAGTTCCAGTAACTTGGACACATTAACAAAACCAAATTTCATCTAAATGTATTGTCAATCTGCAACACAAGCCTTATACTCAGTTCCTCTCTTAAAAAGGGATACGAAGTCACACTGTTACCTTCTGGAAAATGTGAATACCAAAGCAGTGAATTTCCATGTGCACAACGAATTTCCATGTGCACTATTCAGCAGTGGCTTCCTAGGCAAATCTGGCTGCCTCTTCTGTTGGCTTCTATTTCATTTACCCTTCTCCATGCTTAACTAGTAGAGCGCTTTTTGAAACAACATCCTGTCAGACCCAAATACTGCCAAATTTATAACCTCTAGTAAATTTGTAGAGTTGTAAAACTGAATGAGTTTCCCCTTTTTTATTTTGTACACCTTAATTACTGAGGAAGGAGTACATTAAAACTGAGATCATGGGTTAATTTGTCCTGGACTATAGAATTTTATAGACAGCCAGAACTAAAATAATGGTTGTGTAGGTGCAATTGGCTAAACATGGCTTATAAATGTTACAGAAATTCCGTAATTAGTCCCACTGCAGCTATTTAGCCTGGGAACTTTATAGCAGACATAAATTATGAAGGTGAAAAGTAAGAAGAATTTTGAATTGACATAGTGTCACTTGCAGAAGCAGTAGTTTGAGGAAACCTGTTTTGCATTATTGTTAATGTTTTTTTTTTCAGTTTCTGTAGTTCCTCCATTTTAGAATTCACTCTAATGTTACTTGCATCGTGAGGCAGTGGCTATCAGGTGTTAAGTCATTAAGCACAAGTAATACCTTATTAAAATAAGGCCACCAACATCATTTCTAAAAGAATTTAACTGCCAACCAAAGGATGAAGGGACCTGTTTGATCATACTCTTCAAAGTCATTTTTGCATATTTTAATAGATTGAAAAGGAATGTTACAGGTTATATTTAAATAGCGTTTGCTGTCATTGGATCTTGACACATTTTAACCTACCTGTTAAAATACAAGTTATAAATAGCTCCTCTTTCAAAGGTGTTCATTATACCTCATTGGCTCTTGTGATAGAAAATGCAAATGTAATTTGAAAAGTGCCCCTTCTGAGTGTGAGCAATTACTGGTGCTCTTCAGTCGCTGGTTCATTGTCAGCATAGCCACTTGGTTAAAAGGCACGTTTGCCTTTGAAATGGAGATTGCTTTGGCTTCTGGCTGCCTGGCTCAGTAGGTAATGAGAAAATATTTTGCTTTTCCAGGGAAGCAAGCAGCTGTTGAACAACTATCCTGTCTACATAACAAGCAAACAGTGGGATGAGGCGGTAAATTCCTCAAAGAAAGATGGGAGAAGGCTCCTTCGATACCTCATCAGATTTGTTTTCACAACTGATGAGCTTAAGTACTCATGCGGCCTTGGGAAAAGGAAAAGGTCAGTGCAGTCAGGAGAGGCAGGTCCTGAAAGACGCCCTCTGGATCCAGTTAAAGTCACATGCCTCCGAGGTACTGCATCCTTCCGCTCAGTGTCCACCATCCGTGATCCCATTTCACTGCATTGGCTGTGGCTCCCCGTACAAGTGTTCAGCCTCACTGTATTTTGATTTCTTTCCACTGAGACCTTACAGCCGTCATGTGGCCCATCCACTTGGTATTGAAAAGCTCTGTAAAAACTTTTATTTGCTTTAGCCTCGTTCTCACTTAGTGGTACATAGCCTTGCATAGCACCTCATGTTTCACGCTTTAAACACAGTTTTTCTTTGCTGTCAGAGAAGGCCTTTTCTGGCAGAACTGGAGCATAGGAAGTACACACAGAAAGGGAAGACGGTGGCTTTTTTTTTTTAACTTGGTAAAATGATACCTATTTCCACTTTAGCTTGGGCACCCCATCTATCTTCCTCCCCAAGAATGCTTGGCTCAACTCCTTAAATTTGTTTACAATACTGCCTAAAGTATACCTTACTCAGCAAAACTTTTATCTTTATCTTTTAAAAAATTTCTGCATTACACATACTACTCATATATTAATACTATTTCATCAGTGTTAACAGTGGTTACTTTGAAGTGCAGGCCAGGCAGACATGTGGGAGAGAGGATCAGGAGGGACTTGGGTGACTAAGCAATTGCAAATAAATAGAGAATTGGACAAGTAGAAACATTACAGTGCCATCCAGAACACACCTGAGAAACCCTTATCCAAATCTCAAGTACATTTTTTAATCTAATGTAATACAATTAGATACTAATATAAAAATCACTCTTCTGTGAAAAAACAGTTTCATAACAAAATAAGGCATAATCTCAAATATTAACCTCTATAGTTGTGTTGTAATTTTATTGGCTGAAAAGACATAATATTGATTTAATCCAGATAGGGATAAACTTTATCCCAGTAAGGAATTCACAGTTCTAAAGAAGTATCATTGACAAGGGTTTGGGTTTTGGAAGGGATATTCTTACATTTGCTTCTGGAGTGCATTGGTACTGAGGCACTCAAAATTTTGCAGGCTTAGGTGCCTAGTGTACATATGTAGTATTTGTTGTCAGCTAAGATACCCTATCCCATTTCAGAGATATTCATTCACTAGAGAGAGGGAAGATACAAATGGCTCTAGATACAGTCACCCTAGGTGTTGGTGGAGTGGGTTGGCCATGTCTAAGGAAGCCACCAAACAGAAAAATTAACAAGGCACCAGTGCTCCACAGCACCTCCTGTTGGCCATTCTGAAAATTCCACTTACTTGGAGTGATTAAATAAATGATGGGAAATGTCCAAGCCTTATTTTGATACTATTAAATTATTATGTAGTATTTTGGCTACTTTCCCTTACTCCCCATCATTATCACAGATGATGGGGTTATTCACCAAGAGACCATGTTAAGCGTGGTGGCTCAAATGGGAGTGCTGTGTTTACTTACTGAAGTTGTTCTTTGGTATACCAAGGAGTCAGGATGAGGAGGAGTAGCACAACAGTATCCTTCCCCAGAAACTTTGCTCACATTTTAGAGAACAGCGCCACGCCCTGAATGCTGCTGGCCTGCTGTCACACTGATGCAGTCCATGCTGCCTATCCAGAGTTCACGATCTCTAGCACATTTCTCATGTGGGCCGTAGCCCATACTTCCATCCATCCATCTGAGATGTGGAAAATGCATAGGTAAAAAAATGGTGACAGGTTGACTGCTGAAAAAACTGAAACTTCCCTCCTCCAGGCATGGTTATTGCTTTCTTGTGAAATTAAACATTTAGGTAGAACTACAGTTTAAAAATACCTGCCAGGCTTGAGAATGTGGTTCGGTTGTGCAGAGGCCCTGGATTCAGTCCCCAGTACCACCAAAACAAAAACAAAAACAAAAAACCTTGCCAGGACATGTGTAGGTGTTACCAGTCCAGGAAGAAATGAAGCCTAACTTGCAACATTTTAAGAATGAGGAAACCTTTTCTGAACTTAAACAGGTATTTTCTCACTCATTTAGGTCCTGATAGGTTATTGTACTCAATCTTCAGACTAACAGTTGGTTAAAGAATACCATACTAATGATATTTGCTATCCTTCCAGAGATAACTTTCTCAAAATACAAGCAAATAGCAACATGGGTTTCGAAATGCACTCCCTAACTCATCAGGCACAGTGCCACCTTCTCTTACTGATCAGATTTACCTTTCTTTTCAACAGCAAGTGTTTCTTAGAGAGATACCACTCAGTTAAATAATTTTTACTTTTCCATATCAAAAGGAAGTTGGTCTGGAATACATTGGGTGTGTCACAGTGGCTTCATCATGGCATTGCATTGGATCTCCCATATAGCTCTTCTGATAGAACTTATGTCAAAGTTTAAGCAGGCTGCCACCTTCTGTCAAAACCAGTTGTGTATTTCTCTCTCTTTTTTACTGTTGTGTATATTCCCACAGAATTCATTAGGATGCACTGTACCTCCAACCCCGACTGGTGGATGCCCTCAGAGGAGCAGATAAACAAAGTGTTCAGCGACGCCGTGGGTCACGCCCGGCAGGGGCGGGCGGTGGGGACTTTCCTGCACAACGGTGGCTCATTTTATGAAGGGATCGATCACCAGGCTTCACAGGATGAAGTCTTCAATAAAAGTTCACAGGATGGATCTGGAGATTAGTGGACAGAATCTTCCCCACAATAGCAGCCAGTCCTTTCGAGAGCTCCAGTTGTGAATGTCTGTGTATCTGTCCCCTGAGAGTCCAAAGCATGTTATTCTGTCATACTTTACACAGTCTCAATCTTAAAACTCTTGATCAACTGCCATAGTTCCAAAATAGAATTCTACTCTACGGTTGTTTGGGAAGTCTGTGGCACCTACAAGCAGATATAAGGAATATTGTGAAAAGTAAAACTAAAGCTATAGAATGATTGTTGGCTGAATGGTGAGGGTGAAAAAATAGGTGAGCTCCCCATCACCTGCCCCATATCTTGAGGCTAGCTGTTTACTTTGCAGAGCTGGTCTCTAAGGGAGGTTAGGTTAGTGCTCATGCCTATGGAAGAAGGTAAGATGAGCTGTTTAAGGATCAAGGAATAAATGTTCTCTTAGTTCAGTTCAAGAAAGTTGTCTTTCTGTTTTCCAAAGACTTGAATTTGAAGTTCTCAGCGAAGACTCGGAATAGCTGACATTATATGCTGTCTGTGTGTCACCAGACCTGCTGTTAACAAAAAGCCAGAGAACAGAGGCCATCTGTATAAGACAGTGGTTAATTAGAAGCCAGCTACTTTTGTGTTGTTTTATAGAGAAAACTTCCACCTTGTTGTTCAGAAAGGCTATGTGATCACTGGAGTTTACAAACAGTAATAGTGTTTTGTTATGTCAGTTAAGAAACATCCAAAGATCCAAAATTATTTTCAAATGCCTGACTTCATAGATTCATAGATCCACAGTTTCCATAGCCTTAAACTAGGTTTTGTTGACACAATGCCAAAGTAATGGTTGAACAGTGAGAAGTTAGTTGTTGGTGCATATCTGTGATGCGACTGATGGTATTTGCTGCCTTGACCAGATATTCTGGAATGGTAGACACATTTTCAAGGCCATTCTGACAACTATGCAATGGATTTGTCAGTGATTTTTCTGAAATTTGAAGGTCTTTCTGTGCTGTTGATCTTCAGAATTTGTATGAAACTCGTGTTTCCCTTTGTCATTGATGAAAATGTTTGATTCCAACTGTGTCTGTGCCTCCTTTTTCCCAGTATTCTCCTAAAAGCCAGACTTTGGCTAAGTTTACACTGTTGACTTTCACCCACTTTCCCTTTTCAACTTGTTGAGCTCCGTGTGTGAAAGTAATGCTTTCCCTTGTCAGCAGAGGCTGCAGAGGTGCTAGAATTTGTGAGGGTTTAGCTTTGGGTGTGAGGGGAGTCTCCCTGTACCAAACTAGTTGGGATTGCTGCATTCTTCACTGTGCAAACAGCTGAGTTGACAGCATTTCTTGAGGACCATTATCATCTACAAACACAACAAGAAAACTCGATGGAAATTTAAATCTATGAGCATTTATGAAATACGTTTTTAAACCTTTCCTGTGAAAGTATAACCATAAATTAGCCTTGTGTTCCGTAATTGGTGAGCATCCGAAGTATGTATTCCTTGAAGCAGGTCCTTCTGTACCTCCTTAATGATTGTTAGCTTCTGTCCATCAAAAAGTATAATGTGTATGGAGATGATCATTTGTCAGATTTGTAACAGGTATAGCAAGAACTAATTCTAGTCCTGTTTTGGACAAATGAACTAAAGTTTGGGAGTAAATGATTAACAAGGCAAATGTAATGTCACTTCTTACAACTGGTGAGACCAAAGTCTCTGGCCATCCAAAGAGGATAATTCCTTGATGTGTTTGTAAAGCTCTGGGAAGTCAGTGTCTTATGAGATTCTTTGATGACACGAAATCGCAGGTAGAAGGAAAACATCACATAGCCTCATCTGTGTTTTCATTTTACCTTTTCTTTTTTTTGGCCCTGGGCTGTGTTACCCTTACTGCTGAGTACATTGTCCTTATTTTCTCTTAAGCAGAAATATTTGACCAATCCTTTAAGTAAAATACAATAGCTTTGTTTCCTGTTAAGTTGTTCTAGCTGTGTTTTTCCGTTAACTTTGAGGGTTTTGCATTTTTCTTCACATCTGAGCATCAGTGAAGTTCAGTGTCATGCTGATCTTCATTGATGAGGACAAGCACACCTGAGTACACATTCTGCATAGGCTTACAGGTGACATGGCTGTACCAAACCTGTGAGTAACCATGATTTTTACTACTTGCAAAGGCTACTCTAGTGGGCTTGCATGGCAGCTTTGCTCCAGAGACACACTAGATCCTCCCTCATTTGCTCTCACTTCAGGTGAGTTATATCTCTGGCACATATTTCAGAATGTTAGAAACATATGTTGGCTGTTTCCATATATGGAAACCAAGGCCCACAGGACGAGTCACTCGGCACCCCACAGCCAGGTCTGGGGTCTTTCTGGGTGTTCTTTATACTTAACCATTGTTTGTGTGATTGCTGTATCTCTTTAGCTCACCTGCTGGCTCAGGGGCGTTTATCCACTAATGCTGTGACAAAACATCGGCTCAGACACTCTGCTGGCTCCACTGTTAGCACACATCCATACTGCTGTTTGTGCTTCCTCTTTAAAGGTGGTGTTACTGACTTCATGGTAGTCACCTGGCTTTGAAATCAGAGCTTACAAAGAATATTCAGCATTTTGTTTTTGTTTGTTTTGTTTTGGTAACATGTAGGTGGCTTTAGTGTGGCAAGGTTAAAAGCTTATCACTAGCCAGATCTGGTGGCACATCCCTGTAATTCCAGCATTTGGGAGGCTGAAGCGAGAGGAGTGCCGTGAGTTTGAAGCCAGCCTGGGCTACATAGTAAGTTGAAGCCCAGCCTGAGCTACATACCAAGATCCTGTCTCAAAACAACCCCACCCCCGCAATAAAAGTTAAAAAGCTAGGACACCATTGTTGCTGTGTCAGTCTGTCTTTCAGTTATCTGTTTTGAGATTTCATTGAAAATGTTGCTTATCTTGATCTTTGATTTTCCATATCTCTGACAGTTGGTTTCATAACAAATTTAGCCTGATGTCAACTTTTAGAGTTGTCCTTGAGTCATAGCATTGGTGGAAACTGGATTGAATGGTAGTAGCTCAGGATGCAGCTGTGCTCACTTCATTGGTGAGAGGAGGTCACAAGGCTAGGTAGGGCTAATGCTGTGCTTCAGTCAGTGAATAGCTAAGTCCAGAGTCCCAGCTATCAGAATAGTCCATGCTTACCCGCAGTGGCCATATGTACGTTTGTCCTGTGTTTTCCAAGTTAGACCATCTCAGAGCATGCCTGCTTGTCACAGTGAACTGAAGCCTGAAGCCAGGCTGCGGCTAACCTGAGGGATCTGTGTTGGAAGACTTAGAGCAGGAACCTGTGGAGGGGACAGTATTCTGCTAGCAGTACATAAAGTCATTTCTTTTTTTTTTTTCGTTTTTTATCGGTACCAGGGATCGAACTCACGACTGCCTGCTTGCAAGGCAGGCGCTTATGCCGCTGAGCTAAATCCCCAGCCCCTATAAAGTCATTTCTTAACTGTTTTTTTTACTAGTGTGTTGTTCAAATCTCATGGTTCACCTTTAGTGTTAAATGCTTTCAAGAAAAACTGTAAACATCTCAATTAGTAGCTTCCATTTTTGTTTGAAAGTGTTTTCCTCCAGCTCTTAAACCTGGGCCTTGCTTTCTTGGTAATCCTCACTCTATCACAGCATTTAGGTGCTTGTCACCATTTTTGTTTCATAAAGCTTCACTGGGAATGTAGGAAATAAAACGAGAGTATAGAAAATTGCTGTCATTTCCTTTGGTAGGGCAGTTAAGATCCCTGTGGCTGCTTCACGGATGTAGTGTAATTGGGGGATTTTGTATTCTGGGTCATTCCTTTTCATCAAGAGTATAAGGACATAAAAATGATTACAATCTTTTATTTGACCCAGCTAATCCATGTGGCATCAACTAATGCTAACTGATGTCAGTAAAATTTTTTAAAGTTCAGTTACCATTCTTGTAACTCCATGTGTTTACACAAAATCTGGACAGTAATACAAACTTGGGAATTTTCAGGTTCAAATTTCTGCATTTCCCTGCCACTTTTAGTCACCAGTGCCTGCTTTCTCTTGTTCTCAGTGAATGGAGCATCATGTACAGGTGAAACATGCACGAGATTAAGAACAGCAGACATACATCGCCCTTAGTTGGATTTTGTCATTCAGTATGTGCTCTGGACCTTACCCTAACACCATTGACTACCTCTAGATACCAGTTACTTTTGTTTGAAAAATTTCATCTGAGATGACTTCATTTTTAGAAAAGATGTGTAAATGTGTAACTTTTTTCATTCATTACTGTGTCATTCCATGGTACAGATTTGTGCTTTTGACTGTTCTTCTATGTGAATTTGTAGAAATGTAATAGAAATTGATTTTTGCACATATGGTGCAAGTCTTGCTGGTGTATGTTTAATGTGGCAACACTTGCCAAAACTGCTTGGCAAACATGTCAAAGAGAATGCTTGAGTCAGAACTCTAATGTAAATGTGTCTAAACAGCAGTATGTATCATTATGGTGTATTTTTGTAAACAGAGTGATGGCTTCTTTCAGTAAGTACTGCATAAAAATAACCACTTCACTTGGAATAAGGAGGAAAAATGTCACCCAGCTGATGGCAAAGTTACTTGCATTGTCAGCATTGGTTCTTTCATGTTTTTTTTTTAGAGGAGAGTGAAGAACTGACATCAGACAACATGAAGGGCAAAAATAATACCCCATCATTACTTCTAAATGTAAATTTTAAAACCTTAGCAGATGTCATTGTGTGCATCATAGTATAATAAATTGAAAAAAACGTTTGAGGGTTGGTTTTCCCTCATCTGGTAACAAGTTTGGTTGGTTTCATTGTTAAAAGCATTGTTACTAAATCTTTGCAATAATGGTGACCACATTAGTTTTCTTTATAACCAGCTGGCTAATGTGTGGGCTGTATTTTCACTGAATCACAGTTCCCCAAATTGCAGTGAAAAAACATCTGCTTAGTAAGACCAATTCAGAAACTTATTTATTCTCAGAACAGTTACACCAGCCCAGTGGCTGTGTGTCTTGGCCGTGTTGGAAAATAATTTGGGCCTATTTAAAACTATTTACTGCAATAATAGTTAACCACAGGTAAGTAGTAAATGTAACGGTTAAGTATTTATGTGCCTATTGCTTTGGTAAGTACTTGCCTGGATCCTCCTTTTAATTCTGTGGCTGCCCTGGGAGGCTGTTTGTTGCCTCCGTTTAATGGATAAGAAGACTTCCCAGGATACTAAACTAAGCTCACTTTGAGCTTAGAATGACCAGTTCAGTTCTCCACTGTAGTCAAAGCACAGTTCACAAGGCTTACCAACCCTTTTAAGTTGGTTTTTTGTTACAGTCATGCCATCAAGGAAAAGTTAGTATCTGTGTTACTAAGAATTATTTCTAAAGTATATTGATTCTGGAGTAAGCAGAGCATGTGTGCTCTGGAACTGCCAGGTTCCTGAACATGGCTTGATCTACCTAAAATCCTGTGATGGTGACCTGAAAACTGTTTTAAATGGGGAAATTAAAGCCACTGTTTATTTACATTTGTTTTATAGTCTCCCAGTTTTAAAATGTAGGGATATAAAAGAAAAAAAAATTGAAATTAGAGAACTGATAGTCCCCGGGAACTGCTAAAAATGGCACTGGATGTCAGCCAATGAGTGTTCTATCCTCCTCTCACATTTGTTATTTTGTAGCTTCAGAGTTGATGAGTCTGGTTTGGAAGAGGGCTTTCTTACATGATGTCACTGTGAGAATTGTTGCGTATTTTTTTTAAGGAAAATTCAGTTGTTTGTTGATTATTTTCTGTGGCTTTGGCTTTCCCATCCCTTTGGCTTTATTCAAGAGCATGCCAAGGTCTTGAGGGACCTGGCTTGAGCTTGGGAACAGGGCCTGCCAGAAATTGTTCATGAGCCTTCAAGGTGCACCCTGATCCTGCCCAGTTTAAGCATTGCCGTTATGACTATCTTCTCTGGAACTTCATGTAGCAGCCTAACACTGGGGCCAATTTGCCTTTACTCTCTTTTCTATAATGAACACTTGTGGCGAAACTGTGACAAATCCATTGATCCTAGTATTTTTATTGTTGGAGTCTTGTGGATTCTCTATGAATAATTTCTATTTGATTGTACTGTGTAGAGTTAATGCCCACTAGGGATATGTTAATAAAACTATAAATGCATAGTGTAATATAGAATAGCAAAAAAATTTTTGTGAACAATTTATATAGGAAAGTAAGTTGTTTTTTAAGTGTTAGACATATTTCTTTTAGGAACTTAAAATGTTATAAGAGTTTTTTAAACATTCAATATTTTTAATTATCAGAGACATTTGTTACTAGAGCCAATTATTTCAGGTGTTCTAATTGGAGTATTGATTTTATTACCTCATATACCTCTAGAATGCCACATGTTCTGTTGGAGATAAAAATTGCACAATAAATGTCAAGTCTCTGTTAAGTGTTTTAACTTGCTGTTTTCTTCTTTCTCCAGTTCATTGTAAAAGTGTGTCGGTTCTTTGGGTAGAGAACTTTTTTCCCCAACACTTAAGTCTTTTTTCCTGAGGACAAAGAAAATACTGTGTGCTTAATACTCAAAAAAAAAAAAAAGATACTTATGTCAGAGAAGTAACCAAAAAATCATCCAAAAATTCATTTGATCTAGTGAGTAAAAGACAACCAGAAATCTTGGAAGCGACATGTAAATAAGAGGATTTTCCAGCCAGCGTTTTGTGCATGCACACATGAAATGCACATGCTTCCCATTCATTGTACTATTCTAGAAGGAAGAAGACACTTTGCCTGCTATTCTTTACCTATAAAAATGGACATATATTGGTTGTTAATGTATTTGAGCAGTGCTCTGAGTATAAAAGCAAAATGGGTGACATGGTTATAGTTTCCTACTTTTAGTTACTACATAAAGTATAAATCTATCCGGGTATGGTGGTGCACACCTGTAATCACAGCACTCAGGGGGCTGAGGCAGGGGATAACCGTAAGTTTGAGGCCAGTCTGGGCTATAGAGTGAGTTGAAGGCCAGTCTGGACTGCATAGTGAGACCTTAGCTTGAAAACACACATGTACACAAAAGCATAAATCTGAGACATAAGCATTATAGAACAGCAAGTCAAATAAATGTTATTTCATAACAAAGTAAGTAAAAACCAAGACAAAACAGTTTCATTTTAAGGAAAGTATAAAGTTGTTTTGATCGTGCTTTAGAGTTGTGAAGTTCTAATGGGTAATTTTGGGTGAGAAGCAGTGATTTAGTTCAAACAATATAGGATAAAATTGGATTAGCAAAATGAAGTTAAAGGCTAGACATGGTGGCTTAAGTAACAAGAAATAGACTTAAAATGAAAAATTGGGGGGCCTCAAAGGACACGAGGAAAAATGAAAAGCACAGAATGAGAAAATACTTGTAAATCACATGTCTGTTAAATCTGGTAGCTAGAATATGTAGAACTCAATAATGACATATTGCCTAATTAAAATCGGGCACAGAATCTGGATATCCATGCTTTAAGGAAGATATAAAAATGGCAAATGAGTATGAAAATCATTAGAGAAATGTAAATCAAACTAGTGTGAGGTGCTACTTCCCTAGGTTGGCTCACATGAAAGATGGTAAACATCAGTGAGGATGTGAGAGACCCAAACTCAGGCATTGCTAATAGACCATCAGGTTGTACAGTCACTTCAGGAAAAGGTTGGCAGGTCCTTTTTAAAACATTAAATCAGAGGGGCTGGTACAGGAGTGTTTGCAAGACTCCAAGGATGGGGTGGGCCTGGAGGTAGGGAAAAGGTAGCATTGGAGTCAGCACTTCCCCTCATGGAGTTGAAAACTTGTCTAAAAAAATTGTACACAAATGTTCATAAAAGCATTGATTGTAATGGCTAACAAGTAAAAGTAATCCAAATGTTTTATCAGATGGTACATGCATAAACAAAAATACATGTCCTGTAATATAGTTTTAGCCAAAACAGTAGAGTACTGCCAACACACAACATTGGTGAGCCTTTAACACATGGTAAGTGAAAGAAACCAGAAACACAAGGTTGCCTGTTGTATGCCTATTTATATGAAATGGCCAGGATAATAAAAATACTGAGTAGGCAGCAGCACACCATTTATAAGATTAAGGAGCCAGATGTTCTATGTAACCCTTCTTAAGTGTATTGCACATACATGCAGTATATCAAGAACCTGTTACTCCTTGTTACAGTCAAGCACACCTACAGGCCCAGCTACTCAGGGCACAGACAAGAGGATCTCTCCCACCCAGCAGTTCAAGGCTAGCCTGGGCAACAGCAAAACCTTGTCTTAAAAAAGAAAAAAAGCTTGATACGTCAATGGCTGAATAACTTTGAAGAAAAGTAATAAAATTGTTGTAGGCAGGTTTTTCCTTGTCCTTAATTGTCATTTTTTAACGAATTAGGTTAAATCGTGGTTTCAGAATAAAGTTTTAACATCCTAATTTCACGAAGTACTTTTTGACCAGATTTTGTTGTTTGCCCCATTTGTCATCCTGTCATAACTCATTTCAGGAACTCAGCTTGGTTACAGGATTCTGGGAAGATGGCCACGCTCATGTTGGTGTGGAAGGATGCCACAGTCGTGGCACCCAGTGTGGAGTTCACAAATGGAAGCAAAATTTTGCTGAATGTTTGTGTTTGCCAACTGAACTGTTTGTGGACAAAAGCACCTGTGAAGCAAGGTGTTATTGTACTAGAAATAATAGTTTATTCAGGCATGGTGATACATGCTTGTAATCTCAGCAGTTTGGGAGACTAAGGGAGGAAGATCGCAAGCCCAAGTCAGCCTGGGCAATTTAGTGAGACCTTGTCTCAAAAAGGTTAGGGTTTAGCTCAGTAGTAAAGGGCCTTTTTGTTTGATTCCCAGCACCAAGAAAATCAAATGCAAGAGTGTTTAACAATACTACTGATGCAAAAGAAATAACATGAACAGTCAGGTATGAGGATGAATAGGAGCAAAAGGACCAAAAATGTAACCATAAATACAGACATCTTAACATTAAGTGATGTTTAAATTAAACTTTCACTCTCCATCACATTCTAGGGAGAAACAGGCCCTACTGAGTTAAGAGGAACTGGCCAAAAGAATTTCCAAGTTATTACATAACCTGTAATCCTAGCACTTGGGAGAATGAGACAGGAAGATCTGGAACTCAAGCCAAATCCAGGCAACTCGGTGACTTAGCAAGACTCTTAAAATTTTTTTCAAAGACTGGGGATGTGGCTCCATGTGAAGGCCCTGGATTCAACCCCTACTGCTACTAAAAGTAAAAGCATTTCTTTTAGAAGCTTTGCACAGAATCAACTCTTTCCTGTTATATAATTTTTCATTTCTTCTTTTAGCACTTGTCTATAGAGAAAGACCCACATTATTAGCCTAGGGAGAGGGTAGCAGAAAGCTAAATGGATGAGCCTGTTCCAAAAGTGAAAATTCCACTATCAAAACAGCACTGTGGTACAATCATTGAAATGAAGCCATTTGCTGTCAAAAAGGCCCCTAAAAACAAATGCATATACCTTCTTAAAATTATGTCAAACCATAATTGATCAATTTTTTAACATTAAAAAGTAATATTCTTAAAAAATGTATAAAGAAATGTTTTAAGGATGATTATTCCATGTTCTGTTAGCCCGACAAGCTTGCCCATTACTGCAGGCCTCACACACTGCAGGCTCGGCCACCGCCAGCCCTGCAGGTCTTGCCCTCTGTGCTGTGCTCTCCTCTGCATTACTCAGGGAAATAAATGGAATTGAGTGTCTTCACTTTGTGCAGTAGGCAGATATACCCATCGCCTAGGTACTAAGTGCATAGCCATGAAAATACTTGTGAATATTTAAAATCTGACCACTTGAATCTGTTACTAAAACGCTCTTCTCTTTTTGAAAAAAACAAGTAGGCATATAATTCACTGCTTGTATCTTCCTCCCCCATCCTTCCCTGCCCCTTCATCTTTGTTTGCATTGAGTTTCATCCCCAGCTCTCTCATTTTAAACAATTTTTTTTGTTTTGAGATAGCGTTTTGTAATATTACTAAACTTCCCAGCCCAGGGTCAAAATTTGAATCTTCTCACCTTAGCCTCCCAGAGTTCTGGGGCTACAGGCATGCACCACACCCCAGCACTTTTCAAAAATTTTTTTTCTTTAACATTATCAAGTTCCCTATGCAAGTGGTCATCCCTGGACCCTGACCATAGACCTGTAGTTGCCTATCACTAGCAAAAAGATGTGCTGTGAAGGAAAGATGCTATGATCAGTGAAGAACAGCTCTGGGGCACCTACACCAGCTGCAGATGGTCACTGGGTTCAGGCCAGTGGCCTCCCGTTACGGAGAAAAAGAAGTAGCCCCTGTAAGGTCAGGTCCTGGCAAAACAGAAATGAATCCTGCTGTGAACACTTAAGAGGAGCTCACTGTGCCTTACTGGATGTAGGTTACACTGATGACAGCTTATCTTGCAAGTCTTTTGAAAAAATGAGTGCAAGCCATGTTTAAAAATGGTTCATTTTAATGGTTCATTTAAAAATGGAATACATGAAGAGTTAAGGGGTTTCTTTTTTTATTTTTACTAAAGTCCTATGGTGAAAGACTGTGTTATAAGTTGACAGTAAATTGTTCTTTTTGCAGTGTAGAAAGCAAAGGATGAACAACTTGGAACAGTTGCAGGTAACAGCTCTTTCTACTTGACTATCCCAGAAATGGTTTTTGAAAAAATAAGTCACTCATACCAGAAATACACAGGTGGGATTTGAATTTAAAACAATGCCATTTATATTAGCACTGCCTAGAATTAAATAAAACCAATTTCACAAAACAAATAGAAGACCTGTATGAGGAGAACTACAAATCTGAAGAAAGAAATCAAAGTAATAAATGGAGAGAGATTTCATGTTCTTGAATGCAAAGACTTGATACTGTGCCTTGTCAAATTCAGTTCTTTTGAATTTGATCTAAAGATACAACAAAATCCCAATGAATTGTTTCATAGATTTTTTTTTTGCCTTTTTGCTGTACTAGGGATTGAAGTAGGTCTTTACATATGTTGGGCAAGTGCTCTGCCCTCAACTATACACCCCAACTCTAAAGTTTATTATATAAAAGGTAAAAGACTCAAAATAAGAAGCTCACTACTGGAAGATAAGGATAAAGTCTAAGTACTAACACTGCCTGGCTTGATACAAAGCTACAGTAATCAAAACAGTATGGTGTTAACAACAACAACAGAAGTACATACATGGAACAAAATGAAGAGCCTAGACACACGTGCACATAAATACAGTCAACTGACTTTTGGCAAAGGAACAGACAACACACTAATACAATGAGAAAGTAATATTTTTAACAAATGGTGCTGACATCCACATGCCAAAAGTAATCTAGACACAGACCTTACACACTTCATGAAAATTTTCTCACAACTTAGAAGAAAATCTTG